TTTTTTTTTTTTTTTAAGAGTGCTCCAATCTATTCGTGGGGAGCAGCACGTGCTGGAAACCGGGTCCAGCGTCCCACATGAATTCTTACAGAACATATGAGGTGTCGGGGCCATTACCCGGCTTCGGCTAAGAATCTTTGTTGATGAAGAACTAAAAATTTGAATACTATGCTATATCAGCAATTCCAGCTTCGTAATCGTAGAGCAACTCCTAGCCCTCCCTATGCTGGGACATTACTACTCAAGGACAGTACTGACCCGACGAACATCATCCATAGCTGACCTCTTCTTGCCACCAAGACTATCCCCGACCCCATAGGGTGTCCAGGCGGTCCCCCCCAATTCGCCACTGGCTTACCTTCCTCCCTCGGCAAACCCCAGATCTCTCTACAAGGCCTCACACTCCTGCCATTGCAGGTTACAGGGTAACACCCCAGCTCCGGCCAGCGTCGTTCTGGCATCGGCAAACTGAGGGCACAAAACAAAGCAACTCTGCCAATGTCAGTCCAGGTGCAACCATCTCTGAAATCGAATATCCTGATGAAGAAGAAGACTAGATGCTGCTCTAACTTTGAATACCCCAGGAAGAAGCTTCCAAGAAAATTCCTCCTGCCCACAAACCCTATTCCATGCTGCCACCGCCAAGGAACACCACCTCGGCCCCAACCTGGAACAGACCCCCTCCTTCTCCCCATCCGCAAAGGCAGCCAATTCCCTCCTAGAGGATACCTTCGCCCTCCCCTTGTCCCTATCTGCCCCCGCCGCGGGTGAAGGCGACCAACTCTCCCACCCCGGCCCCAGACAAGGACACACCACAAATCTGCCCCACCCCCGACAGGGCAGCCACCTCCGACCTTGCAGCGCCCCTGTAAAGTAAGGCTCCCCAATACCAACCCCCACCCTTCCCCAAGAATCCAAACCGTGACCACAAAAGCCCTATCCTGACTGAAGCACACCCATCAGATGAAGCGGCCAATTAACCTAGAGAAAGATGTCAAGTGAATAGTTGAGTAAGATTTGGTGATGGAGATCCCAGGATGTAAACACTCAAAAGAGTGAACATGAGAAAAAGAAGATCATGATGAAAGTACCGGAAAAGAAAATAGTAATTACTGACAAGAACAGGCCCTGAGGCAAAGGGTTATAAGGAGAGTATTGGCGAGCGTACTCACCTGCAGATACTATCGGTAATGACCCCCTAGTGAGGGAATGGATTAGTGATGATTTTTATACGGATGATAGTAATCATGATGATAATGATGTCGATGATAATGGTACAGATGATGGTAATGACGATGATGGTATTGATGACTTGTGATTGGATGGGTGACCGAGAACAATACCCTAAGACTGGAGATTTTAAGGATGATATTGGTGAGCAGACTCGCCTGCAGATGATATCGGTGACATCCCACTAATGAGGAGTGCAGTTGAGGGAAATATTTTATAAGGATGATGGTGATGAGAATGAGAATGATAATGATGACGATGGTGATGCTGCCGATGGTGGCAATGACGAGCAACACAGTGATGATGACGATGATAATGACAAAGCCCACACAGAGATGTAATGATGATTAGAATGACGAGCAATTACCAATACTTGGATGACAAGCACATTTTGCTGACAGCTAGCTGCGACCTCCTGAAAATGACGACCTGTGCTTTGATGATGACATGATGATGATGAAAAACGACGAATCACACCCTTTCCTCAAATGATGATAACGGATAATATCCTGATGATGGCGACTAACCTTGATGATGATGATGACGAACATCAGCTTGATAACAAATAGTGCCCCTGATAGCCTCCTTGTGATGGCGATAACAGTGCCTTGATTATACTTGATGGCACGTCCAAGTTGTGCCCCCGAAGACAGACAACACCCTAATGACGAGCAGTGTCCCTGATAGGAAGTAGTGGGGTGATGTCGAATCGCGACCTGAAAGTGCTGGTGATGGCAAGGATGATGGCGAGCAGCACCCCAATGGCAGATCGTTACTGTAATTACTCACACTTCAGAGTACCTAGGGCTAACTCCACTGTACTCCACAGACATCGACATAGCCAACGCCTCTCGGCCAAATGCCACGTGCAGCAACGCAGCAGCAATGGAGTAAGATGTGGAACTCCCATAAACTGAACGCCACCGGGAGTCAGACCATCTGCCACATCAACCTGTGACATGGTGTGGTCAAGCGCCTGCGGGCTCCTGCGCGTGCGCTAAGTGCCAGGGCTTCAAAAAGAAGGGCCACCATCGCCGCCGCGCGCCATCTCCATGAGTACGTAGCGTCGGGCGGGGCGCCACGCTCCCGGTAGCGCTGCGCCCCCAGTAGTACTGTCACCACGTTCCCCAGGATAGCTATGGTTGATGTTGGCTATGATGGCATTGTCTCTGAGATGTAATGTCCTGGTTCAGGGAGGGCTAGGGGTTGTTCTAGGATTAGAAAGCCAGATTTGCTGATTAGCATAATCTTCTAGTTTTTTTTTACATACTAATCGTCATCATTATTAGCATCATTAAAAAAAAAAAAAAAAAAAAAAAAAAAAAGGAATCCATACTTACTGACGTGAATCATTATCATCACCACCCTCATCAGATATGTCATCTGTTGGGGACTCACCTAGATCAAATCCTTTATTTTTCGGTATTATTTAATTATTATCAATTTTGCTGATTGTCTGATGGAGTTGTGAATGTGCACTTGCCTAGGTCGAGTTGATGCCAGAACGACGCTGACCGGTGCTGGGGCATCGCCCTGTAACCTAAACTACTAGGAGCTTGAGGTCTTGTAGAGAGATCTGGGGATTGCTGAGGGAGGAAGGCAGTCCACTAATTTGACCGACGGTAACAATCCTGCCGACGATGGTCGGAGCTGGGGCG